GGGGAACTCTAGTTGCCACCTGACACTGATTCCAAAGATGAACATATGAAGCCATAACCGTACTCTTCTTTCTTCAACTCACATATTATCATGATTATTTTACATACCATGCATCATCAAGGTTTCTTGTTCTAAGTCATGCATTCCCATTTTTTATCCAATTTGTCTCGGGAGTTTTCATCCTATTTCTTAGGAGACCACAATAATGAAGCTTGAGGATAGAGTTTCACTTTATTCTGTTCAAAGGATCAACAGGTGCAATATAATTGTAATGCAATTAAGAAAATGAGAAACAAATTCCTGAAAATTTATTGGTAAAATAATTTCCATACAATCCTATGTCACTGATCATCTCGTACTGAATTGAAACAAAGAAATATATGACACCCCAAAGTTGATCGGGACAATTTGACTAAACTCCAAATTACTCTTTTAGTCTTACACAATCAAATTAAACCATTATCATGCATTTCGTTATTTCATACCAACATACTAACAACTTGCAATCATCAACATCATTCAAACACATATCAAACATAAAATAAAATCCCAATTTCCCTTTAAACACAATCAATAAAATCTATCCTTTATTAAGGCTCACGTTGCCTTCAAATTAAGTTTGAAAATCCATTATTACATACTCAAAAGCTTAGCCATGCTTTAGATCACTTTGCTTGCCACTCCATACTCCTCAAGATGCACTATTTCTTTGTAAATATCATCGAATACAAGAGAGAAATTAAAAAGTTCAGTGAATGCCATATTGTACTGAATGAACATAATAGCAAAAGATTAAAAGAAAGAATGCAATAACACTAGAAATTCATTTTTTTATGTCAAACTATCTTTCTCATAATCATGTTACTCTCTTAAGAATTATAAATCTTAAATTTGCATATGCCAATTACATATTTCATTCTTTAGAAGGAATCATCCTTTCAATTTACACATTTTGACTCTTTGTTACATAAGTGTAAACATATAACATCCGATTCATGGTTCTCTTTATATCCCCTCCCTATAGATTCAAAGAGTCAAACATATCGCCATCGAAATGTAGCATAATGCTAACACTCTCCAATACACCAGATTACCTCCAGATTTTCATGCATATCCATGCTTCATACCAACATACTAACAACATGCAATCATCAACATCATTCAAATATATATCAAACATAAAATCAAAGTCCAATTTCCCTTTGAACTCATTCAATAAAATGTATCCCTTATTAAGGCTCACATTACCTTCAAATCAAGTTTGAGAATTCATTATTACATACTCAAAAGCTTAGCCTTGCTTTAGCTCACTTTTCTTGTCACTCCACACTCCTCAAGACGTAATACTTTTTTCTTTTGTTGTAAAAATCATCAAATATAATAGTGAAATTAAACAAACCCAGCGAATTTTCTAAGGAACTAAATGCACATAATAGCAAAAACAGACTCGATGAATGGCGGCTTCACATGGTTTTAATGGTATTCAGATATTCACGTTGTTCGTTCAGAACATCCCAATGAATTTTCACTGGAGTGTTTGTGGGAGCTATTTGGAAGACATGGAGAAGTTGTTGACTCGTATATTGCTAGAAAGAAGGATAAGACCTAGAAATGCTTTCGATTTGTTAGATTCTCTAACAAAGTGGGTGCTAAGAAAGCAAGGCAAAGGCTAGATGGATTCAGCACTTATGGGTTCTGATTAGTTGCGAAAGAAGTTAAGTACAGATTTAGGTCTCTGCAATGGAAGAATATAAACATCGCTTCAAAACAGGCACCCAACCGGTCAAATTGGCAGAAGGGGAAATAGCACATGAAGAACGATAAAGATAGGAGAAAGGATAAAGGGAATTTCGCTTCATTGTTGGAATCACACTACCTTCAAAATCGTTGCAGAATCATTTTTTTGGGGGAGGGGGGGTGGGGGGCTCTTAGCTTTGGGAGAAAACGCCCTACAGTCCAGAGATTGTGAGAAAGTCTCACTCTTTATTGCCACCAACCAGCTGGAAAAAAATAGAAGGTGTTCTAGAGTTGGAGGCTGGGAGAGTGTTTTTCAGGATAGGAGTTGAAGAACTAAGCTCTTTCTACCATGACAACATTAGACTTAATAAGGAGTATTCAACCAAAGAGGACTTGGCGCATCACTCTGGAAGCTCTTCAACATCCATGTCGGAAACCAATCGGAATAAAAGTCCAGATATACACGAGGAGTCCAAAAGTCCTTTGGAAGAAGGAGAGGTAATCCTACGTTGCATGGAGAAATTGCTGAGTGACGCCTCTATGTCGGCTGAGAATGAGATGGAAAGGAACATCGGTGAGACAACAATCTCGGGGTGTAGAGCAAATGATGGCAAGTCTGAGAATGCATCAACTTAGAATAGATCTTTTGAGAAGGGTCTAGTAGGTGAGGGGTCGGGTCAAAATAAGAATATGGATACTCGTTGAGAGTTAAACGACCAAAATTGGGCCTCAATTGAAGCAAACAGTAATATAAGGGAAGAAATTTCAAGGCGGGCCTTGGACGATATGTTAGATATAGGTTTCTCAAGTTTTGTTTAATAGTTGTCGCAACCTGCCCTTTGTAGGGAAAAGTTGACTAGTTACGATGATGAGATTTTATGAAAAGATTTTTACGAAATGTTGGAAGTCTTATTTTATAAAAAAAAATACTAAATTTTGGTCTATGAAAATTAGAAATCGGGTTTGGAAGTAAGTTATGTGTGAGGAAGAATTATCACCCCACAACACCCAAATATTGTACCTAGTTAATTACCCTATATTTTAAAAATTGAAAATTTTGAGTTCGAGGTTTTATTTAATTTAAAAATCATTGTATATGCAAATTTCGGAAAAAAATGATGTTGGTTTGCAATACCACCCTCGGGCATTTATATGAATGCTTCATTATTGATATTAATAAACATTGCCTTGAAGATTAAGAAGTCATGACATGAGTTTTGAAAAGGATGTTGATTTACTTCATGAATCAATAGTGGTCACCCTCGGGCAATTATGTTGAGCATACATTGTTAACTCCTTGATAAACGAACATTGCCTTATTTTTTAAAACCGAAATGCGGTCAAATAGTTAATTATGAAACCTAATTATATTAGGTGGGTTAATTAAGGCAATCTTCTAACTTAGAGTGTCAAATTATGAAATTTAAATAACTTAGAGGACTAAATGTAAAAATGGAGGCTCTAATATTAATCCTAATTGATTTCAACCAATTATTGAATCAAATAACAGATATGGACCCTCGAGCATTTAATGCGAGGACTAAATCAAATACTCCCTAAATCAAGGGACTAAAGTGAAATTAAATAAAAAATGGAGGCTCTAATTAACGATCTTAATTATTTTTAACCGATTATTTAATCGAATATTCAATATTGACCCTCAGTCATTTAATGCGAGGGCTAAATCGAATAATCCTTAAATTAAGAAGTTTAAGGACTAAAGTTTGAGAAATCTAAATCTAGGATCAAATTTAAATTCTAAATCTAATAATTATGGACTAAAAAAGAATTGGAACTAAAGAATTAACCCTAAAATCTTACTAATTAAAAAAAGGATTAAACTTAAAGGAAAGTAAATCAGAAGTAATTAAAGATAATTTTTTTATCAAGCATACATTAAAATAAATAGATAAAAAAGGTCTAAATGTGATAAAATAATCATGCAAATTTAATTACAAACTACCAATTAGTGATTTCATAGCATAAATTTAATAAACTAGATTTATATTAAGTTTTATCAATAAAACAATTAATTTAGGGACTAAAATATAATTAAGACATCAATTCAGGGATCTAATTCAGATAAAATACAAAAATTCAGCATAGTGACCAAAATAAAAATGCGCAAAAATTAGGGGAATGAAAGCACAATTTTCCGCTTTTTACATACCTAGAATTCACTAACAGATAAAATGTGTAAAATTGCAAAATTAGGACATTGCAATTAAATTAAACACGAAAAAAGCATTACAAGTGACGAAAATGTAAAATGGTGCTAAAGGCACGATGACCTAAGAGAAATTTATCCAAAAAGTTTCAATAGCTATAAAATAATTAACCCAAATTTATTAATATATATTCTTAATCCTATAATTAAACTAACCCTAATCTTAAACTAGATAAATCATCCCTAAGGAAGACGGTAACTCTTCCACAAGGTCCAATCACAAGAAGCATGGCCAAACTTCTAAAGGACAAGCTCTAATCTGCAGTACAAGCTTTCGTCAGCAAAGGAATCCAAGCCTACTTGGAGACTGACTGCTTACTGAGGCAGCACCATCCCATAGGCATTTGCGAGTGTTTGGATGCACGTGTTTTGTTCATATTCCTGCGCAGTTAAGAGAAAAATTGTTCCCAAGAAAACTACTTGTGTCTTTCTTGGATATGCTTAGTCCGGGTATAGATGCTATGACGTGAAATCCAAGACTCGATGTATTCTTGAATGTTCTCTTTAATGAGGTCGCCTCATATTTTCCTTAACCTAATTATAAGACCCGGGGGCGATTGGTGATGGGATGTATTTCGGCGTTTGTGAAATATTGAATCATTAGATCACAAATATTGCTTCAAAATAGACCAATGAACATGAAAAAAAAATCCATCCATTCAAAGCACACAATTAATCCACAGATATAACTATTTTCCTCTAGATATTCACACTAAACGTCTCCTTATGTTCCAATGTGATTTAGATTGGAAAATTGCAGGTGATATTTTCATGTTGGTTTTTTTTTCTTTTCACAGAAGCATCCAATGAGCATACTAATTTCTATTACAAGTGAGGCAGGAATTTACACATTCAGGATTCATGAAAATATGGATGGTGTGCTACAAAAGTAGGGCATTTTTCATGAATGCTTACTTTCATTGCATAATAAGAGCATGTTACGTACCAAATGGTACTCCCTTTTATCGCGTTGAAGCATTGCAAAAAAAGGAACGGATGCTGACAGTGCTAAAACATCTTTGAGCATTAATAAAAAGCTAGAAATAGCCATCATTCCTATATATACAAAAGCTAAGACCCCAACTTGATGACTGAAACAACTCCCATTCTCTACTTACAAATCCTACTCCAAATATTCTGCTGCCTATTTCCATTCCCATCAAGATCCCCCAACTGTACCGCGCCCTTCACCACCCGTTTTCATGTACACCGACCAAACCGAGCACCTACCTAAATGATAATTACAAATTCTCAGATTTGTACCTGTAAAAGAAGCTATGAAAGGTGGAATGAGCCTTGCCCTTCTGTTATGGCGTATAAGAGTTTCTCTTTCATCTTCTCCTGCAAAAAACATAAAAACCCGATTTCTCATTTTAACATGATACTTATATTTAATTCTAAGATTTGTTCAGGAATGTGTGAAGGATTACTTTCGAAGAATATGGAGGCAACTTCAGGTAATTGGCACAAGTCATGACACTGGGCAGTTCAGTATCAGCACAGTTGCTGCTATGCTGAAGGAAACATTTAAAGTAAAAGAAATGATGAATACATAATATATGCATACAAACTGGGAAACCAAGGTTTAATTTTTTTTATTATTAAACTAACCTTGCGGACAATTGTCAATTTTGGGTTTAAGGATGCCAAACCTCCTGGAGGTAGCCGGGGTGCACCGGTCACAAACTGCAGAAATGATCGCCGTTGTGCAAATTCAAACTCTTGAATAATTTCCAGTAGCTGAAATTCAACATGTGAATCAGTGACTCGGTTTTTCAACAGATGAAAATAAGGAAGTGGGAAAATAAAGAAACTGCAAGCAATGCTAACATTAATGATGGGTGGACTGCTGGCGGTATATCCGTGATCAAATTTGATATGTTCCAGAAGTTCATTGAACTGCTTGAGAAACAACATAAAAATTCAGTACAGTTAATCCCTCTCTTCTCTCTCTAAATACACTGAAAAATCAAGAGATAGATATACATACGCCCCAATAATCACATTCTCCACAGAGTAAACGTTCTAGTTCCTTCTCTGTGAAAATATGGAGATGGCTACTTGAAAAAACCTGGAATGACAACCAGAAGCAGATGGACTTGAGTATTTTCAAGTTTTAAAAAAAAATTATAAAACCCAAATCTGAGTCCCAAAGGAAAATTCCTGTGCAATATATTTACTAAGCAAGAGAACTTCAGACATGGGAGCACATAGATGAACAAACAATAGATCTAAAAACCAAAATACCCCCTGGGGAACTGAATTACCACGACCTAACCAACTTGTGGAAGTACCTCTTGTAGCAAAGAACATTCACACTAAAAGGCAATATAATTCATGATTTAAAGGTGTAAAGAATTGCCCCACAGTTATTTGAACATTATTTTGTTCAAATTTACAACACATTCAGAACAAATTGAACATCTCCATTGTTGTTTTCAGTTAAGTACAACACAAAGACATTAGCATTTTGCTTCTTTTTAAATACATGTAGAGTATGATGTTACATACCTGGTTAAATCCAGACTTGAAAGCTTCAATTTGTCTGGCAATGCCACTATTTATGGTAGCATCCACAACAAGCTCAATATAATCCTCCAAGTTATCCAAATTTACCTGGAATAATGAATAACTTAATGTGAATCAGGTTTTTCATTGGATTAATGGATCTAGTTAATGAAAACATGGTTTAGAAATACTCACCACTTTGTGATTACACTTGGATGAAATAACATAATCAGGATAACCAGGAAGGGTAAAGTCCAGATAAAGGTCTTCAATCTTGGTATTTCGAAAGTACAAATCCTGTTCAATGAAGAGTTTTCAACACAAATGGATTCCAGATGCCTTTTCCGATTAACAATAGCCTGAAACTCCAGTAACGTCCTACCAAGCTCAGGGTCAAATGATTGGATGTCAAACAAACTAAGGTCCTACAAAACCAAAAGGTTGCGTATTTTAATTGCAGGAGTGCAAATGTTAAATTTTTAATGTTCAAGGGAAAGTTAAATCATAACTAAAAAATTGTACCTGACCCAAAATTAATTTGTAGAAGGCTTTGGAGAAGGGAACATCCAGGACTCTTCCATCTTGAATAGCCTTTGCAACAATTTGGCCCAAAAGAACAAACTTTTTTAATACTTCAGAAAACTGTATCCCGCTACATGAGTCTGATTTAGGTGAACATGGACAAGGGAAAAGCCCAAAATTGCTTCTTAGGATTACGGAATCAGTAGGAAAGGTTTTTGAAGTGATAGTTGAACTATGGTCCTCCCTCCACATGCCAAGACCAGGTTTCTGAAATTCATGACTAACAAGAGTATAGAATTCCAAAGTTGGACCCAATCCAGTGCCAACTTCTTCATCATATTCCACTTCAAGAAGTCCCTTGTGATGAGCATGTAGGTCCATCATTTTGGTCGCAGAATCTAGAATTTGATCACGCGAGACTAAAAATTTCTTACGAGGCAAACCACCTGAAGTAGTTTGCCTCTCATTTGAAGCGCCTGAATTACTACGTGAATTGGCATTATGTTGAACTCTTCGTGGACCAAAGGCTGTCAATCGGAAGTACTTACATTTTGCCTCAAAGCCAAACAAGAAGGGACAAGAAGACATTAAATCATTACACCATGAAGGCATACCACCAGTTGACAAAGTAAAAGCATCCCGCATCTGTTGTTCTAATTTTCCTGTCAATCTACTGCTCACGAACTCATTTTGAGGAACTGAATGAACCATCATTTCCTTCAAATTATCCAAGTTATCAATCCTTCCTTCAGCAAATGCACATATTCTCTCACAAGACATTAGATGAAATGAATATCTGTTGATGCCTTCCAAAATTTTGAGCAGAAACAGTATATCATAAATAGGACTCGACTTGTTCAAATCAGAAGCAATATTGCTAGCAAACATGCTGGAAAAAAATGTCATATTCTGCATAGAAGCAATCTTTTTATCTGACATTGAAGAATTGTCTTCTACATATGGACGTTCCTGAGGATCATCTTGCTTAGATTCCACAGCCTTTTTGTATGTTATTGTGTATACTCTGCTCCACAACTTAGACCATGTCATAAATTCACTCTCTGAATTTAGTAGCTGTTGAAGAATCACTTGATATAGCGTCAAAGTTCGGCCTAGTTGATGTCCTTCTAGATAAAGCAATAGTCTTGGTGACAAATCTTCAATGTCATTTCTACCAGATGCAGAACAGGGAGTTTCCATTGCTATAGTTGACTCTGTAGGAAACTCCTGTTCCTTCCCAACAGAGCCCTGTAAAATGATCCAATTTGCATTTAGTGAGACTGAAATACCTCTTTCTAAATAAAAGCAGCACTTACGGTGATAAAAGACCACTGATATAGACATTTAAAACAGTAATTTGATTCATACAAGAAATGAAACAATAGCAAGCTAACAATACATACCATATTGGTTTCATCCAAAGACATTGTTTCACCAGAATTTGATTCTCTGAAATGAACTTGTTCAGAGGTCATTTGTGACAAGTTAGTCTCATCTTCCTACAGGAGAGCATAACTGAAAGAATTGAGTAAAGCTCAAAACTTACTAAAAAAAATACCATAATAGGAATAAAAATGAAAAAAAAGGAAAATGAAGAAGAAAAAAACATGCTGCTTCAAGATTCTACTCATTTGGGGTAAACAAACTACAGGAGTCACCTGAATCTCTGGCAAATCAGTGGACATGCTGTCTATAAAACCTGAACTCTCCCCTTGACTAGAATTTGCATGTGATGGTAAAAGATTAGGTAGAATGTCCCTCTGTTCCAATGTTTCTGCATTTAAATCCCCATTTTCTGTTCGTTTAGTAAAAATTTTAGGCCAAAGATATCCTTCAATGGCATCTAATGAAGAAAAAGGGTCAACAGACACAACATCTTCTGCACAGTCAGAGAGGCAGGTCTCCCCTTCCCCCCTCACAAAACGAACCCTAAAACATGGATACATAACACAACGTCCATTTGGAACTGTAGCAAAAGAATTCCTCTGCTTGAATCCATGGCTTGAAATAACAGGGAGATTTTCCAAAGATGACAATGCACTTTGTAGTTTCTGTATTAGTATTGACACTGGCAAGTACTCAACAAGGATATCTGAATAAGAGAAAAACAACTTTGCGAAGAACTGAAACCTCTTTCCCAAAACAACCAAATGATCATAACTACCAATAAATTCAACGTTCTCCCTCATGTACAGCCCATCGGATAGGAAATGCATAAGCGATTTCACAATTCCACTTTCAATAAATTCAAAAGTGGAAACAGGTTCTCTGCCGTTGAGCTTCAGTATAATTTGATTCAATGTGCTGTAGAACTTCTCTTCATGTTGAGCTGGAGTATCACCATCGACAGGCATGTCTATCAAATTAATCAAGGCAGCAGAGAAGGTTCTAAGGTTTTTAAGAACATCAGTCATTCCTTTGTCAGACTCAACTAATTCTGGAGCAAAGTAATTGGTTTTTATATGTTCTGCAAGATTGCAAATAGTATCCTTGTCAATCTTACAAGGTGGCACAGAGGAAGATGGCATTGTATCAAATGCATAGCACAAGCATCTCTGGAACTCCATTGCAGAAGACTTTTGGTTTGAATCAAATGATGGTTGGATACCACTGAACACTGGAAGCATAAGTTGCGAGCATTTTTCAGGCATTAGTAGTGCATCGATCGCAAAAAGAACACCCTCCTTTACGAATGAGTTCAAAAAAACATTAGAAAGCTTTTGGAGGATGATCTCAGCAATTTGTAGGGCTAACATCAGCAAATGATGATCCTTTCGAGTAAACACTCCAGCCAGGAAACTGCCAGATATAGATTAATGAAAATACATTCAAGATCTTTTGACTTACCAATATAAATTATTTTAAAAGAAAAACACATCCATATTCACCTTGGAATGTTGGCAGTCTTAAGCAATTCAGCAAGAATGTCAGGTTTGCTCAGAAAAACTAACTTCCTGATAACAGATAAGCACCCATAGCAAACATATATGTTTGCACACGAATTAACTACCTGTTCAAGTGGTAAGAAATGTATTATAAAACTATTTCAAGGACAAAATACAGACATTTCAATTGTACATATCGAGGAGCTAACCTGGACCAGCATTGAAAATAAATCCATTCCAAATCTTTGCAGATGATCATGGTGATCAGCTAAAAATGATTCTTTATCCAACACTACCCGATTAGCTTGATCTCCAGTGGAGGTAGGAAGCAGCTCATTGAGCAATTTCAGAACTTCATGTACCTGCCAAAGACAATAGCAATAGTGAACATGGCTAGAAAACCAATTAAAATGGCATTAAGGTAGGACATGAACCAGGTGCCATCACAACAGTAATAACAGTTGTTCGTTACAAGGGTAGACTCAAAATAAACACTCAAGCCATTACAAACCAAAATGGAATGCCATTCAGATAAGTCCGCTGTAAGATGCAAACCTGATTGCAATTGCCATCAACCAAATGTGGAGAAGATATTCCATGAGAGAGTTCATAAGTAGACAAGACAACTTTCAGCGAGCTGCTTATGTTTAGCTCATAGAGATTCCTAAAAGCTACAAAAGACCCAGAAGAAAGCTTGGCAAGTAATCCTATCAAGCCCTGCCAAGCGCAACCATGATGGAACAATCAAATCGTCATTTAACAGGCAGTGAAATATGAATATAGCTAATCGCTAACCAATAATCAAAGAAATTAGAATACATTGTATATTGGCTGGGATACAGTAGTCCGGCTGTTCAATTTCATAAGGTGTATGACTTGATTAATCAGCTCATGCTTACAAAGTTCCTCCAGAAGTTCAGAAGACTGACACATTCTCTCAGATATTTTGATCAAGCAAGTTGCAACGCTCTCAACAAGCTAGAAATTTGAACATCGTACAAATTCTTAGGTCAATAAAACTATATGAGAAATAAAAACATCAAAGGAAACATCAAAAAGAGTAAAACCACAGAGAATAAAAAACCTGTTGGTCCTCATGCTGAAGTAAAACACATAATTTGGGAACCACTTCAGCGAAACATGCAGTCTCCTCTGAAGGAAGTCTCTTACAAATGTTCACCACAGTGGAAAGTGCAACTCTCTTGCAAAATTAGAATCAAAATTCAATTAAACAGCATATACCCTAATCCTAAAATTAAGAACAAATTGTAAATGAATTACCTGCACGCTAACTGAGAAAAAATCTATAAAATTTAGAACAGCCATAATTGCACCAGCTTGTAAACAAGCAAGCGGTTGATCACGAGATATTTTCTCCAATGCTTGCAAACACTGCATTACAAAATATTTCTCAGCAAAACCAAGTTCTGTTATCTCATTACAGTTTGTTACAATAACAAACTTAGTAACTTCGATCACACTATAATCTAACAAAAAAGCTTAAAAACATACCTGCTCAGCTACATCCACATATTCAATAGCCAATAATCTTTCACAAAGGGCAGGAACTGCATCGTGCTTAACAAGGAAACCAGATGATCTAGGATAGACATCGCATAAATAAGTCATACCCCTAGTCGCCAACAACATTATATTAGCATTACTCTCATTCTTCACAAGCTTTACAAGTATAGGAGATAAAGAATCCGCCATCAAACCCGAAAGCGAATCCTCATTACAAAAAGATAGCACTTGACAAAGTTCAGTCAACGCAGCCAGTTGACCAGAACCTCCATTTCCTTCTTCGTTCAAATTTGACAAAATACTGCTCAATTTCCCATGATCACTTGATCTTCTTCTCTGGTAATCTCTTAAAATGTGATGCCGTGGTTGTTGCTCGGCATCATCAGAATCGCATGATCCGAAACCTGAATCTTCTTCCTTGTCGTGTTCACCATCGGATCGGATGGAACCCGAGGCAGAAGAGGAAGTTTCCATATCACCATCTGGAGTGGAAATTGGTGAATTGAGGTGAGTTCGGATTGAGGAACAGTTGGAGGAACTTGGTCGAAACTCTAATGAACTACAAGCTCGCTTATCTGCTGGCAGTTCGTCGGCTATTTCCGTTCGCTTCTGCCCTCGACTTCCCATGAGAATTGGGTTCCTTATCTTTCTTTTGGACTGACTAAATTCCAAACAAAAGCAAATTCACTGAGACCTGTAATATTAAGAAAAAGAAAATCGCATTAAGCAAAGCAAAAATTCATAGTTTCCTACGGAAGAAAATAAGAACAGTAATCGTAGAACATGAAAAATTACAGTACCGCAGTAACAAAAAATCATAAAAAGGTTCAGTTTATAAACCTTTGCAATTGATTTTTTTCAGAAAATAAAAAAAAGACTTTAAAAGAAGAAAGGAAATCAAAACAAAGAAAATAAATTAGGGTTAGTTTGGGAGGAAAACGATGCATCAAAACCATAAAAACAAACGATCAATCCTTAGAACATCTCAAAACTGTTCAAAAAGGGAATTAAAAAGACAGAAAACAAAGCAACTAACGAGAAGGTTAAAGAAAACAAAGCAAACAACTAAGCAATTAGCTTAAAAACATATAAGAAAAATAAAAACAAATCACGTCAAAGAAAATCCAATCTTTTTTTTTCTTCCTTTTTAAGTACATAAATAGAACAATTATTGATTAATCGGTCTTTCGAGAGAATCGAAGACCTACAGAATTTTAATCAACGAGTATTAACTTATAGAAGATTGACGATCTTCTCTTCTTTCTTTCTTTTTCTTTTCTCTTCCTGCTGCTGATGTTTATACGATTGTAATGATAATGATGACGGAAAGGGCTTCGTTATAGAGAGAAAATAAACAAGGAGATTTTAATTTTAACCTTTTTCCCCGTATTTATACACCACTGGCTCCTACAGTATCCCGTGCTACTCAGCCGTATAAAAGGTCGTACACCTTCGAAAGTATTAGCCGTCCGATTATCATCTTTGGCTTTCTTATGAGATGTGAAATTTTCGACCGTATGATCATTTGAGTTTTTATTGTTCTTTCTTCTTTGTGATCTTTTGACTTTCCTCATTAATTAGAAAATTCATTTTAATCGTTTTTTTATTTTTATTTTTTTATTGGTATCCGATTTATTAACTGACTAATCCAGATCGAATACTATATAGGAGAAGGCGACCATTCCTACCCAGTTTGCTTCATTCGTAAACGTCAAGATTCAAACTTCTGACCTTATTTAAAAGACTTGGTGTTTTATCCTAATTTTTTTTTTCTAACTAGTAAATATTGTTATCAATGCGAAGTTTTTTTAAAACCATGGGATGTTTTAAATGATGATTAAAGTAGGTCTAATATTTATACATTTTATTTTTTATATAAAATAAAATGATTATAAATTGACTTGATTAACCTTTAAGAGAGAGGTACCGTACAAGCCTCTCATCCTATTTACGTGAGTGATTCAAATTATTATTAGTTTTTAACAGGATAAATATAAAAAGATAAACATAAATTCTCATTAAACATATACTGTTATATATAAAACTTTCATTTAGTTATATTAAATATATTTATATATTTAATATATATATTAGATTTTTTGTGTTTTTATTAATTATTTAATTTTACACCTGCTAAAATTCATAACTCCGTACCCCTAAAATTTTTAATATAACTTCTTAAATCGTACTCCCTAATATAAATTTTTGTGTCGATCTTAAAAACACGATTATAATAATTTATTTCTTTTGATTTCAATAAAAATAATAATCAATACAAATTAACCATGATTGATGGTCAATTCGAGTGATGAAAGAAAGAATGGGATTAAAAGATAAACAATACAAGATTCCTAAAAGACAGAATCTCTTACTAATTGTCACTAAAAGATATTTATAATGATTTTAGTTGATAATGTTAAGCTTATGACTAGTCGGAAATTAATAAAGTAATCGATTGATTGCTAAATATTAAATTTCGTTATGACAGATTGCATAAATATGTAGAAATAAATCTTATTTATGCAGTATAATTGGTTTGGAGATTGTGATATTTTTAGCGACGGATGCGAAATTTTATGTTAGGAGACAAACATAAACTTATAATATTTTAGAGGGGCGAACTTGATTTTAAAAATTCTAGGGGGACGAAAACATATATTCAATAAAAAACACATAAAAACTCTAAAATATATGATAATTTTAAAATTTATGGATAATTGCCCCGTCTATATTCATCCCTGGCTACTCTTATATCACAAAGATATGAATTCTTGAAAGTTTAGAGCACAAAAGAGTACATCAGAAGATCTCCACTTTTAATCGAGCCCTTAGTATCACCCTATCAGACAAAAGAGTTTGCAAGCCAAACCTTATCAGAGAGGTAGCTTGGAGAATATAAATTTGAGGTTCTAAAATATTTAAAGTAAAAAAACATAATTTTTTATAAGAATTGGAGGCTTCGTTTAAACCCCCTTCATAATCATCAACATACTAAACTGTATGTCAACGAAAATTGAAAGGAGGGAAAAAGTACCTCGTGATTTATTAAATAATCAAACCAGTCTAGATACAAACATCAAATAAAAAAAACAGAAAACCTCTAAGAAACCCCCCTCAAACAACCAAATAAAACAAGGACAACCTTATTCGATACCAACTCACACCTATCCCGAGCCTCACATCACTAAAAACCAAAAATAACCAAAAGCAACACCCAAATCCATTAATGTGAAAAACACAACTGACTCCAATCAATTAAAACTCCTTCAAAAATCGCTAACAGACCAATCCATATTTGGAGAAGCAACACAATCCAATCAATTAAAACTCCTTCAAAAATCGCTAACAGACCAAAACCCAAGCTTCCTTTAAGATACTTAAGTAACCTTAGCATTTTTCTTGCTCTTTTTAGATTCGTGAGGTCTCTTTTTCTTCCCGAGCTTTAGGCCCTTCCCAAGATCCTCTCCCTGCAACCGGATTAAATCACCTATTGCCTCATTAGAAACCAATAGACCCATACTGAGATTATTCTAGGGCACGAGACTCCACAACGTTTTGATCTGATCGATCGAGGGCACTAGGTAAGGAAGACTCCGAAACTGAACATGCCTTGAAGTTAAACCAATCTCACCACAAGTGGTTCCACTGCTAGGTACAATTTCCTTCCCAAGTCGATTTGACAAATTTTCCACGATCCAAGTGGAAAGGAACCGGTGTAGCCTTAGGGGAACTTCGACCAGGAGGAGAGCTTCAATTTGAGTATTAGAATGGGCCAATGTAGCCATGCTCGACTTGAAATCTCGAATTTGTCGTTGTCATAACTAACAGTGTGTTCTTCATCTTTCTTAAGAACCCAAGGAATAGGCTTGAAACTCGAACCGATCTGCAAATCAGAACTTTAAACGATTGTCCTTCAACCTTCAATCCTATTACCTCGTCAATTCTAGAGATAGTATTTGTGAAAATTTGGATTTTTGCCCGATCAAAGGACGAAGGATATTGGGAATTTTCGTCTATAGCAATAATTCCCCCCACTTTGTTGCTATGCTTGTAAAGGTATCCCAGCTCCAAGCATGAAAAGGAATCCCTTCGCAAACCAACCAAATATGCCTACTCTCTACCACCATGTTTTTTGACCATGATTCAAACCCGTCGAACCACAATGCCAGAGACTCCGATTCTCGACCTTCATTTTGTTCATTAACAACGAGTTTTCAAAACACAATAAGACAATATTTCCAGTAGCTCTCATCAACGAAAAACCATTAAGGCCTTTTTCATGCATCTATCTAGCAATGTTCGGATGGAAGAAAAATTTCTACACCAACACAACCAAGGTAATTTTCCAGCACTCGTAGTTTATCTTCATCAACCACCCCTTCTATCAATAACATGATCAACAAGAAAAACTACAAAGGGAAAGAAAAACATTAATCAATTAATTATAACTTATTAATAAGTTTGTAAACAAACACGTAATATAAGTAAAAAAAAATCAAGCTATAAGAGTCCTCAGGTTGCATAGAAATCACAGGTAAAAGAACAAAACAAGGAAATCTTACATATATCACCTTCCATAAATCAAATTTCTTTTCCATTATTTTCATATAGCCATTTAGTTGAAGGAACGAAACTCAATGAGCAAATTGATTATTTTATGAGTTTCAAGTGCTCATTAAACAAAGATATGTGGAAGTTACTACTATTCCAGCTAAAACAATTAGTTTAATAGATAAGTTGAAAAAAACACCATTTTTAAAGTTGCAGAAACATACCACCAACATACAGGATAATAACACTTCTTATTTACCATGGATGAAAGAGTCGAAAATCGTTTTATCCAAAATAATTATTTCCCTTCCCCCCTTGTTAGCAGCCAAAGCAGGAACCATATGCAGAAGAATATGTTATCGTCGAACGATTGTTGTTTTAATAGTTTTATCGTCGAATGATTGTTGTTTTAAATAGTGTCATCTTTGAACGATTATTTATTTTTTTTCGTTCAGTCCACTGTGTTGAACCATGCTTTGAGATTTCGTATACCATGCTTTGAGATTTTGATATACCGAAAGTAAATAATTTTAAAAAAATTTAAGATTATTTTCAATTCGGTTTTCGAGCTTATATTTGATTCAACCGTTCGAATATAAAAAATTCTTTTTAAGATTAAAAACTCCATTTTTACTAACTCTTTTGAAAATTCAATTTATATACTATAAATATTTTTCAAGCATTTTTACAAAGGGTTTCAGATTTTAATCGAGTCAAAAATCATTTTAACCCTATAGTATCAATACTGCATAAACAGTACCGATATTATTCATATGATACCGATACCAATATTGATATTAATAGCTTAAAAATGCACAGCAGTATACACTCTTAAGGTTCATGACAAATGCAAATTCTAGTAAGTTATTTTGGTATCGATACTTGCACATTATCGATTCTGGTTTCGATACTCAAGGTTGAATACCGATAATTTAAGCTCAAGTATCTTTACTCAATGCGTCTGGGCAACATTTATTGTGGGAAATTTCATCCCAACGGCTCTATTAACTCGCACAACAAACCAAACGACTATAATTAAATGAAATTGTATAAAAACAAGATTCTAAGTCACATGTGATGACAAAATATCAAAGAGAAATACAATCAATCACATTAAGCCAAAATCAAACTCAACATTCTTCAATGTTCCTTTAACTTTCAAAGAACACTTTTGTTCTCATTTGTTTTATTTATTAAGTGTTCTTATTTGTTCTTGAATTGTACAAAAACATTCCTAGTGAGATTTTCTAAATTTTGTAGATTTGTAATTTTCTCTTTGAGAGAGTGTCTCAAGAATTTGGGGTATAATTTTTGAGGGAATTGTAAGATTACGCCTTGTCCTCAAATATTAAAACAGATTAGTGAATTTGTGAAAATCCATGGATAGCAAAGTTAGTGGATGTAGACTTTGATTTAAAAAGTCGTACACTCTAAAATTCTTGTGTTTAGTTTTTCATTTTTCTCTTAAGCTTCCACTAAAATTTTATTTGCGAATTCAACCCTTCTTAGCTATTTTGTCCTCTTAATTGACTCAACACACTACCTTTTTTCAGTTTGATATTTATAATTTAATGGATAAATTACTTTAAAATAATTAATATTTTAATTTGATTTCAATTAAATCATTAATCATTACTTGTCAAACGAATTTATTAACGTAACAGTTAAAAAAATTTATACGATAATTCTCATCATTTATATGTTTATTAATTTAATCTTAATTTTATTTTATAATTCAAATATATATAGATTAAATTCCATTGATGTAATATTTTTATATTTTGAAACTTATATTTAATATTTTTTTCACTTTCTGTTTTGCACTGCCCTTTGATACTTCCACTCAGTCTGTCGAGTAGCACTTCTTCGCCATTTCCGACGATCTAACAAACTCGTAGTCAGTGACAAATCAATGTTTTAGTGAGAGTAGAAAAGAAATTTAAACTTTTTCGAATAATTATTTAGTTTATTGAATGTGCGGATCTCAAAATTTTATTTTTGTTCATCCATATAAAAATTTTGTGCTATTAATATATATGTTTGTCCATCCTAAAATAATGTTTCTAGCTCTCGTTAAACGACTGATTGTAGAAATGGTTACAACTGCATCTGACATTTCGAAAAATAAAGAAAGATATACAAACGACAACACGAAATAGAATACATAAAATTATCTAATTCTACATGAAAACTAGAGTTTCACTTCAATTTAAGTTGTAATGGAATAAGGACGGATACATAATTTTATATTAAACATTGCGAACTCAGTTTGAATCTACTTCCAAGTGAGCAGAGGAGGAGTTTTGGAAGGGGTAACAATATTACCTTGAGAATCATATATTATGACCCCTGAAAAATCAGGCAACTCGCACTTCTCCCCCATCAGAATGTTTTTCTGCCACACCGGCTGTTCACGGCTGAACATGCTGCTGTCCGCCACCACGTCCGTAGCTTCAGCGCTCGTAACTTCATGTTGTATTTCGATTACGGGATCGAAATCATCCTCCTCGAAAAACTCATAGCAAGCTCGCCACTGTCGCCGAAGTTTACGCGTGTGGGAAGCACACTTGATCAATGCAAAACCGCAGAGAAGAAGCGTGACGACAGCCAGGCCGGCTTGAGACGCGTCAACCGGTGCCGAACTTGCCGGTGTCGAGTGAAGTTGGCGAGCCATGGGAGACCTGAGAGACTGGAACTGAGATTGATTTCAGGGAAACGGCTGAACAACTGTTTACATATACACATACATAAATACATACACCCACATATATATATGTGTGTGTGTGTAAACTTATTGGGGTCGTTGGAGTTGAAGGATTTGTTGGGGTTTGACGTTGATTAACAATGTTTATGGTTTAGGTCCACAGTTATTGACCTTCAGTTCATAGGTTTCTGCATGCTAACTCTTAAGTTCTTATTTGATTTCTGGTTAGAGGAACAGTTGAAGCAGTCCCAATTAGTGAAATGGAGGACTACAAGAACCCTGCAAAGTTGCTCATCAGTACAAAAATCATATCTTTATGGATTAAGTGCTACTATAAAGTACACCATAACTAATGCAATTTTGTTTTTATATAAAAATATTGGCTTTAAGAGTTAAAATGCAATGGTTAGAAAATAAAAATAGCTGCATATCTGTGGCAATTTATACTCAATTGAGCTATAGTAAACAGTCAATGATAAACAGCCAATTGATTCCAAAGTGTGCAATATTGTCATCGCCATGTGGCTGCTTGGATTATATATATATCAAAGGAAAATCAAATACTAAGATTAACAATAAGAAATAAGAAGATATTCATTGGAAAAAAAACAATAAGTTATTCTCAGCATTTGATTTTTCCCATCCAATGATCTTAAAATGTGTAAAATTTTGCACCTAAAATTTCTCTCTAAATGTAAGTAGATCTTAATATATATTTGATTAGTCTGAGATGATTATAAGATGTTATATGTTTAAAAGATTATCAATAATTTGATAATAAACGCTCAAACACTATGCAGACATCATGTTTAAACCTGTGAACTCTTAGTTCGTACATATATATTTAATTTTTTATTTTAAAACTATGAACGATAACAATCATCCTTTTAACTATTGAAATTATTTTAATATTTTATATTTAATTTTAAAACTCAATATACTTTTATATTTAATATTTTATACTAAATAATTTTAATTTTTTCTAAAAAATAAACCCCTAAATATTAAAAAATTAATGACACTTGAGCTTGATAAAAAAAATCAATTTCATCTACCACATTGTCAACTACAATGGACCATTACGTCAATATAAAGAACTATCTCGTCAACATTATGAATTTCATATAAGCATCATAATAATCAACTACGAAGATAAATGATTAAAGGGTCATGTTTTTTTTCTTTTAGTTTGAAGGTCACATTAAATACGAAAATAATTCGATAATCACATTGATTTTTTTGAATTGAGACCCTTTGTATTTTCATTTTCATCTTCATGCAACTAAAACATGATGCAGATTACAAAAATGAAATACAGAAAGTTGGAAACTATATGAAGAAAATCGATGGAACTTGATACTCCCCGTAAGCAACAAAAACTGAAAAATTCCTTTCTCCAGCTTGATAAAGTTGAGATTGGAGCTTAGATGGCAATTCTATATTCACATAAGAATTTCTAGGCATTTGTCGTCGGGTTTAAGCTCTGCTCAAGAGAAATGGTATCCAATGAAGGTGACCTTACATGCATGATAAGAACAGCTAAATAACATTAGAATACAGGTCACGGTAACACTAATATAGTTGGGATTTGGACAAGAGAACGTGCGACTGTAACAGCAAAAAGAAGGTAACAAGAGAAAAGTTTTGAGAGAGGAGTTTTTAATTGAGAATGGATGAAAAATAAACTATCAAAAGTTTGTAGATCATAGCACTCGGATCAAAATATTAACCCAAAAACGTAAACGACCCAAACCAAACCCTTTGGAAACCGATGACTACAACAAAAGAACCCGAAAACAAAATAGACTATCCATGCAATTTACCCTTTTGATGAAAGCATAAAAGAATGAAAAGACGGTGAGAAGATTATTAAAGAGTTACAACAAGAGAATGAATTTGAATAAAACGCAAATTTAAGGAATCAAACTACAAATTGAATAAAAACTATTGTCAAAGAAAGAATTGAAGTTATATAGTATTCAATAGTAATAGAGGACCATTTGATTCAAATTTGATAAAATAAAGAAGAAATTCAAGAAACAAAAAAATATGCAATTTTTTTGGATTAAAATGCAAAAGGGAAAAATTATTATCAAAAAGAAAATTAATTGAAACTACATAGATATTTTACTGTAGTTGACGTGATTCAAATTAAACTTAAAACTAAAGAATAACTGAAGAAACCAAATCTCAAAACAATCAAATTACTTGATCAAAGATCAAAACAAAGTCATTATACTTAGCTGGACACTGCAAATACAAGCATTTCAATGTGAGAGAACAACCAAACATGTAAACTAAATAAATTAATGTTCTCATATTATAGAAACTATTCCACTAGCCATAGAATGCGTAAACAGGGAGGGAGGACAATACAAAGAGTATAGGAGCATGATATTCCACCAATTTCCCTTCCACCCACACAAACACAAAACAACAAAATAAAAACATCAAAACAAGAGTCTAAAACAAACATTTAATGTTGTCTCATATTACTAAAGAAAAAAACTAAAATTACTGAGATACGCCCAACCACTTAGAGAAGTTCTCAAACTCGGTGTAATCACTGTCTGAGATCATTGTCTGATACCATGCTTTGCCTGCTGCCTTAACTGCTGTTGCCTCCTCCTGAATAGTCGAGAAAAGCAAATAAGGATTCAACACACTAATGTAGCATTCGAAAAAGGATCCCATCATAGAATTACAACATACATGTTGAATCATTAGTATGAATACAACTGATTAGAATAGGGTAAAAGTGAACCCCAAAGAATCATCCGTGCCCAAATTAATGCTCAACAGAAGGTGGAATCATTAATGCAGAAAACCCATCCACAATAGAACTTAGCTTTATAAACGGCTCCAAACAAATAGTCGAAACTCACACCAAATGATGAACATGAAGAGCACACATCTCTATAATGTTAAGAGTTAACTAAAAAAGCATCATCTGCCATGCAAGACAAATGTAAGCAACTATAACCATTACGAAATTATAAGCAAAACAACATATGCTGCAAAGCCTGCAATTAATCAAACAACTATAAGAAGTAATAATCAAGAATATATAATTTAAGAAGCATAAGGTACAAATGCATTAATCATCAAGTGAAACAACACGTAAAATTCCATTCAAATATACTATAACACATAGTTCTAAGCCACAGAATTGCAATTATAATCAGTCAGAAAACACCAACAATCAATTCGAACTTTATTTACCTTAGTGATGGGTTTCCTCTTCTTGTCAAGCTTCTCCTTTTTAGCCTTAACACGTTGTGCCTCGGCTAAAAGAGACATCCTCTTTGCAGTCTTGGCACGGGTTCAACTTCAGCATAGCATTCAAGTTCTTAAGTGGGTTCTTCTTCATAGGTGCCCTCTTGATCTCCTTCTTAACTGGCTTCACAACTGACTGAACTTCATCAGAGTTAATGATCCTACCCAGATCAGCATTGACCATCTTAGATCGAGGTAGCACGTACCCTTTCTTCTTCTCGGAAGGCTTATCGAATGACCCATAAATCGAGTCGAGCTTCTCATAAGCCGATTTGGTCCAAATGACGAACCTACCAAGGTGTCCACCAGGTGCCAGTTTCAACAGATTAAGCCTCTCAACGTTGGCAACTTCGACTCCGGGAATGTTACGGAAGGCTTTGACGAGCTTAGCTCCCTCAGTTCCGTAAACAATCAATGGACCTTTACGGGAAATGTACCTCCGGTTCCTCATTTTTCCTTTTCCGGGTCGGATCCCCTGGCTGTCCTTTGCTTTTTCAACATCGGGATATGCTCCGACCTGTTTCAAAACCTTAATTGCACCCGACGTTTTCTCCACGCTCTCCACAGAATCAGAAATGACAAGCGGCATCTCCGGGACAGCCTCGATGCGGTGGCCACGTGCCATCACGAGGGAGGGAACAGCGGTGGCGGCGATAGCGGAGGCAACGGCATAACGCTTCTGGTTAACATTGATTTTCCGGTGCCAGCGGCGCCAGATCTTGGTGGGAGCAAACATGCGTCCACCGCGACACATGTTTCCGAAAGCACCTTGGCCTGCACGATGAGTACCACCGCCAGGAACACGGGGGATACGCGAGACGGCACGACCGGTACCCCAGGATTCAGCTGAGGTCTGGTGACCGGCGCGTTTGGAGACGGCATAGGGTTGGCGGCTGTTTTTGGAGATGTTGTCGTGGACGAAGGTGACGATGTCGGGTCGGATCGAGGCTTTCATGACATCAGCAAGAGGAACCGTTGGGGTGGCATCAGTAGCCATGTTGGACTCTATGGTCTGGACGGAAACAAGGGGGCGCGCAGCGGCAGCGGCCATTGCTTAGGATTTGGGTTGCAGGGAGAGCGAAGAAGATGAACGTAAAAGAGCGCTAGGGTTTTGATGTATGAATTATTTATATTATGTTTTATTAGGAAATGGGCCAATGAACAGAAAACAAAATAGGGTTAGACTCGGAACTTAGCTTACTTTATGGGCCATCATTTGCAACTACGGACACCTCGTCCAAATTAATTGTAATTAACTCCGAAAAATATAAAAATGATTCTCAATTATTTTAAACTTTTTAAATGAGTCCTTATATTTTATTGTAATTAAGATAAACACTTATTTAAAATGAAAGATTTTTTTATATAATTCCATACTTTATAGCATTAAATTCAACCTTTTTCGTAGTTAAGTATCAATTTAAGACATGGTGAAGAATCATATGATATATCAATCTATGACCAATGATTTCATATTCCAAGGAAAGCAATTAGCAACTTGTCATATCATAAAGTCAACAAACTATATAGTAGGTGGTTAAAAGCTTTTAGTTAACATATTTCTTCTCCTAGTCGTGGGTTCAGTACTCATTATGAAAAAAAATCTCTTACCCTATATAGGAATTGTTCAAACAAAATTATCATAGCATAAAAGAAAAAAATATGATCATTAATGTTTTGTGGTCATATATATT